ATCATGGATTTTATCTGCTGGATGATGTTTCTGCTGGGTGGATCATCTTTTGCCATGTAGGAAATGTTCGGCTCAGCATCGTCATCGTCTTCTTCTGAACCTGAAGACAAGTAGCCTTCATCACACTCGATCGACTGTCTGGCCATAAGACACATATTCCTTCTAGATCTCACTTCATCCTCATCTCCGGAAGACCAGTACCCATCAACATTTCTTGACATCGTGGTAACAAAAGCTTTTTCACTTTCTGCAAGTTATTGTGCTCTTCGAGCATGGTAGGCAGAATCTTTTACGTTCGGTTTTTGGGAAGTTTCAGCCAAAGAGTCTTTTGCAAAGTGGTTACCGAGACTATATTTATGACAGACTATCTTGGGTTTGACTGATTTTGGAATTTCCTGAAGGTTTAGGGAAGGGTTGAGGATTGCTTTGATGAGGATCTTGAAATCGGTTTTGAAAAGGTTTATGAATGGGATTCCAAGGACGTTTTTACTTCATAGACAGTAGTGTCAATTCTTGTTGGAAACGAAGTTCATACTCAAATGAATCGAGATCAAGATTTTCTTCAAATGAATGGTTCGGAACAGGTGCAGTATGTGGGGTAGGAATTGTTGGATGAGTAGATGAAATGGGTGGAATAGTTCCAAAAGGATCTGACACAGATGGGCTCAGAATTAGTGGGTTAACACAACTAACTAAGGCAAGAGGACCTCATGACAGTTCTCTTAGCGTTTGATCAACGTTAGATTCATGGCCTTGCAGTTTGTCAAACAGCTGATAGACCTTTAGTTTCTTCAGAGATCCATTACTCGGAAGACATGACTTGACGTTCCCCCGTCATTTTCCGAGGCTGTTGATGAAAGATTGTACTCGAGAGGAGTTATAACTACACCATGTGCAGTCATGTTGTTCACAACGATACTATATCGATTCGAAGCAGAGGCTACGGATTCACCGGGGGTTATGGTGAAGGTATCAAAGTCGTTGGCGATAGAAGTCAAATACTTATCCTTCATATTCTCAAACCCTTCGAACAAGTCATTAAGAGTGTCCCAAATCTCTTTGGCAGATTTGCACAACTTAATATGCTCAAAGAGAGAAGGAGGAACACCAAGCACCATCTCTGAGAATGTAATCTGGTTGGTTTGCATGAATCTTTTCGATGCCTAATGCAGTAAGAGGTGTTGGACGTTGTTCTTCTTGACCCATGAGAGTAGAAACAGCATCTCTGACCATTCGTCTTACTGGAACATGATGACCTTCTTTCACAGATCTCCATATCTCTTCACCTTTTTCCTTACCAAGTAAAAATCTCTCCATTCTAACTTTCCAGTGATCATACTCTTCAACAACTAGCAATGGGGCACGCGTTGGGCAACCCATGCTATTTGTTATTTGCATTGAATACATTTGTTGAGTTTGATTAGGAGCAGCCATTGATGTTAAACTATTAGAGAAGAAGCAGTATATAGAAGAACTTTTATCCTGAACACATAAATGATTGAGATACCAAGGTAATCTCAGATCAATTATAATTTGTTCTTATGGATTCAAAGGACAACAACTTAGGCTCTGATACTAATTGAAAGTGCAAGAATTTGTGCGTGAACAAGGTTTGAAAACTCAAACCTTGAATTAACTTAAGATCAATGTTTGCTGCTAATATATAGGTCCAGTCAAGTCTGGTAAACCGGTCTTGTCTCGAAGTAAGAAGATCAACAATGTATTGAACAAAATATTCAAGTGAGATAAAATGAGTATGAATAAAGTGAAGATAACTTAAGAACAATGAGAATGATGGATAAAGTGATTTAACTTGCAAGATACTTAGTATTTGATGTGAAAGAGAATATTGCTAAAAAAGGTTACAATGCATGGAAAACTCATCTCCTTAAATAGCTAAGGAGAGATAAAAAGACAAAATATAAGACTGTATAGAGAATGTAAATCTAAGAAGTCAAAAAGCTGACACACAGGATTTTCTCGATCTTGTCCCATGAACATTACAATAAAACAAATGTTAAAGGACAAGAAACATTAAATGCTAATATATATTCAAAATAACACTGAAAACTATGTGTCTCTCAGATATGTCTTCACTTCAGAACAGGCTCCATTTTAGAACTCATCAACCTCGGAATGCACTGGGACTTCGGTTCTGGCTTGGCTTCAGATTGCTAGAGGTTCACTTTCATGTATCAACACATCTGTGTGTCGAATGAGGTAGCAGTGGTCCGTTTTTATACTAGTTTGTAATGGCAAGAAATCAATTTCATCATTAAGGAATTGATTGTGCTAATAAATGCTATTAATTGCACAATGAATGCACCAGTTACCAAAATTCAAACCTAGGACCAAACCAAAAGTGTAAAGTTTAGCAAAAATGAGGGTTGCGCGGGCCCAATTTTTTGGAGTTGCATTTGTGTCCGCGGGTCGCGACCATGCACAAGTTTGGTGAATTTGGCCTCGAAATCCAAGTTTCGCAACCCCCCCTCATTGTGCGCGGGTAGGAGTTGGAGTAAAACCATAGACACAAGATTGTCTGAGGGAGGGGTGGAAGGTGATGCTTGCAGCTCCCTAGGAAAAGGTGGGTGATGAAGGGTTCGTGACTCATTGACTCATTGTAGGGGTGTGTTGGTGGCATGTTATTGATGGTGAAGGTGTTATGTTGTTCTCTCGTACATTTCTAGTTGCTTTCTAGGGAAATCAAAGGTCTAAGCAATATGAAGGAGGGGATGCATAGATGGAGTACTGGTGGCATGTTTTTTATTATAGTGAAAATCTATTATAATAATAAATTTTATAACTAATAGTTAAATACAAAAATTAACGAGGCAAGACAAACAGCATCAAACGTATGTACAAAATAATAATTCAAGGATATATTGTGTCCAAATTGAAAAGTATTGGACTTATTATAAAAATATATAACTATAGGGACCATTTCCATAATTTGCTCGAATATGTGAGATAACTATATAGTGTAATGATCCACGAAAATTCTCAGGCCAACAAACTTATCAAATCTATAAAAAAAATAACACATTTGAATGCTCTAGAATTACATGGCATCTACTTCCATGAATTATGTTGGACTTGTATTTTTAGGAAGTTCCTTGAATCATGACATACTACTTTATTGATTACAATGAATATTTCATGTATACTTTTAATTTGATTTTGTTGATTAGAGAATTACAAAAATCTATCATAGCAAATAAAACCTCTTGTTATTATGTTGCAACAGTTAACTAAGTAGTGCAATTTATACATAATGGTGTGTTGCTTTTCTTTTCTAGCTTATTATGATACTTCCTCGTCTAAAAAAAATGGAAAACTAAGAACATCTCCAACCCAATCTCATTCTTCATTTTTCCCCCATTCTTCTCTAACCCCCCCCCCCCCCCCCCCCAATTTATTCCCCCATTTTGGGGGATATGAATAGTATTACACCAAATATGGTGTTATACTATTCATTTTTCCCAAAATGAGGATAAAATTTGCGTTATCGGTTTTAGTCCCTCTGTTTTCTAGTTCATTTTTACCTACTAATTATAATTTAAATATAATATTTAATACTTATAAAATTTTGTTATATATTAAATTATATTAATTAATTATAAATATAAAGTTTGTTTTTTGATCATCAAATTCATATACAAATTTAAATACATATTGAAATTTTAAAAAACGATAACGTATTTTACAAAAACTTATAATTAAAATATATATTACAAACAGGATAACATATGCTATTAAACATGTAGTTAACCTATATATTACAATAATAATCTAATAAAAACCAGCAAGTGACAATACTATTATTTATTTATTTAATATTTATTTAAAAGTGTGTATGTGTAATATTTTTATAAATGCATGTATAGTATTTATTTATAAGTTTATTATAAATATTAATATTAATGTACTTTTGTATTTAATATTAATGTAATGAAAAAAAATATAGATTATATATATGTTAAAACTAAATTAGTAGATGGGTGTGTTTGACAATCTATGTAAGTTGGAATAATCGAATATACTAGGAATATACTTTTTTGGGGTAAAAATTGGGTAAAAAATGGAGTATTGTTGGAGATGAAACACTATTTTCCCCATTTTTTACTCCATTTTTTTGGGGAAAAAATGGAAGTGGGTTGAAGATGGTCTAAGTAGTGCAATTTATACACAATGCAATAAGTGTCTTTCAACATTGGAACTTGGAAGCCTTGTACATGCAATAGGGTGCTCAAAAAGCCAGGTTGTCGATAAATTACCGATTACAGTGAAGGAAAGCCTGACCGGCTACGGCTGGCCCTTGGATTTAAATCTATCCGGTTAAGAGAATACCCGGTTTAATAAGTTTATTTTTCTGTCTTTTAGTGAAATTACTAAGTTGTGTTAGATAAATAAATTTTAAAAAGTCCAAACCCTAACTTGGTGATGAAGGCTTTGTCTGGTTACATCGGTTATGATATTCTTAACCAGTTATGGGCAGCCCGGTTATAACATCCATCTTGGGGGGGGGGGGGGGGGGAGGTGTATAACATGTTATAGGCCCGAGTTTTGAGCAGTTCTAATCGGGAGTGATTGATTTTTTTGACAAATACATCTTTGATGGTAGTGGTATTAATTACATATGTTGAATATGTCTGATAATCGTGATTCTTGTTTTCATCAATGAATATGGTTCTCATCAATTGTTGAATCTTAAGACACACACACATATATATATATATATATATATATATATATAATATATATATATATATATATATATATAAAAGAAAAAATATCAATTTTGGTCTCTGTACTTTCAAAACTTTTAACTCCGTTTTAAATATTATTTAATTATAATATTCAAATGGTATTTCCGTCATTTCACCACCAACCATTTATGATGTTGTCTTATTAAAAAAAAAGAAATATATTATTTAATTTTCAAAGGCTCTCTCTCACACGTACTCATACACACAATCATTTGTCTTGTTCTTGACAATATAGTCAAGTTCTTCAACACATGCACACGGTAAACGATTCACATGGGTTCATATTTTGGGTATGATCTATTTTTCTTTTTTGGAAATCAATTCACAGGTTCAGATGGAAATTAATTCACAAGTTTGCACTTTAACACACACTGACACACCCACGAACAATCTATTTTATGGGTGTGCTCTTCCAGAACAACAAATAAAATTGATTGAGAAGTTGAATACATATCAGGGAACGAAATCGATTTCGAATCTGTCAAGATTCAACCACCGTCAATCTCTCAAGAATCAAACTCAGTTAACCCTAATGCAATATGAAATTGATTTTACGGGTGAAATCGACCCAGGAATGTCTTTTCTTTATCACATATTGCTGGATTAATAGGTGTGTGTGTGTATGTGTTTTTGATCGCCGCTCTCACCGATCCTGTTTTTCTTATTTGATTTTTAACAAGAAGATGTGATAGATGATAATAACGAAGACAAACTGGTGGTGTGATGAAAAAGTGGGTTTTATGTGTGTGTTCCACTTTCCTCAAATTTGTAGGTACAAGATAATAAACAAACGAGAATATGGGACAGAGATGGAGATTCGATGTCTCTTTCTTCTTTCTATGTAAAATTGAAGAACGAGTCTCAAGTTATAGGTATGTGATAGTGACAGGGGCTGATTACCTTGAGATTCGACTTTGAATTGTGTATTTATTTCCCTCTTTCTCATTCTGGTTCTCAAGTTGCAGGTCTGTTATGGCGAGATGAAGACCGGGGGGTGGAGATGGTCACATAAGGAAGATGATGAAGATCATGATAGGATGTGGCAGATGATGGTGTTGGTTTTATTCATGTTGTGGGCTTGTGATATAGGTTAATTTGATGGTGCAAGTTCGGTGGTTGAAGAAGGAAGCTTAGGTTCATCATTCGTGATGTATGGATGACGGTGTGTAAAAGGAACATGATGAAGGTTGATGATCCGAGTGAGTGTGTTTGTGTGTGTGTGAGAGACCCTTTAAAAATTACATAATATATTTCTTTTTTTAAAAAAATAAAATAAGACAAGACATCATAAATGGTCTATTGTAGTGAAATGATGGCCTCCCAATATTATAATCAAATAATAGTTAATAGCCAAAAGCTAACTGAGTTAGCAAAAAAAAGGTTAAATATCAAAAATTTTGAAAACATATAGATCATCTGTGAAATTGTTGATACTTAGGGACTAAACTTCATATCTGAGAAAAACATAGGGACCAAAAAATGTTTTTTCTATATATAATTTTCCTTGTTATCATCTATATGGTTTAGCCAACATTGTGCAACTGTCATCTCAGGAAACAATGCAGAAGCAAGTCAAAGGTTACCTACGTGGTGTATTTGGGCAGACTCTATTTCCAATTATGCCCTTAGCAGATAGCGATAACTAGGGATGTGAAAGAAAGGGTTAAAGTAGCCAAAATCTGTGATGTGAATAGAGGACGACAGCCTGAATTTTCAAGGTAGAAATAGTCTGTCGCAAGGATATTCAGATTCTTGTTGTTGAGCTTCAGGAAGTCCGAAGTTATTTATTTTTCTTTTTTTTTTTTTTTTTTTTTTTTTGTCTCTATTCAACATTCCATAACAAATTAGTAGAGAGATGTAACGTCATGTCATGTCTGCACAACTTGTTTTAAGAACTTAGAAGAAGATTGACAATCAGATAAGTGTTTGAAGAAATCGATGATGATGTTAAGCTGCCTGACAGTAGTATTTGCTCTATCTGTGAGTGACGTTACAGGTAGAGGTGAGTTTTGTGAATCTGAATCCTTGCTTGGTTTATTTCATGAAATTATTTTTCCCTTTTAGCAGGGTCAAAAGAATGGCGAGCATCTGCTCCGGCTCCACCACCTGGGTTTAATGAAGAAAATGGCAAAGGGACTACACATCATCATCATCAGCATGGAGTGTTGTGGTCTGAACTTGTTATTGTGATAGCATTAGTTGTCATGCTTGGGTTTGTGGTGAATGTGGTGATCATAAGATTATTGAAGGAAAAAACGAAGGTGAAAAACACCAGCACCCCTGTTGTTGGAACTAAAACCTCCTCCCCAGTGTCAGTGTCAGTGAAGGAAGTAGTAAAGGTGGAAGACACAAATCCATATCCAGGCCTTGTTTTTTTTGTAGAACAAGAGGAGCAATTCAATTTGCAGAACCTTCTGGATGCAGGAGCTGATCTGCAAAACCAAAACTACTGCAGCAGCCTTTACAAGGTTCAGCTTAACAACAACAACAACAATTTTGCTTATGCAGTGAAGCGATTAAAGAAATTACAGGCGCCATGTGAGGAGTTTGATCGCACAATGGCAATGGTTGGGAAGTTGAACCATCAAAACATTCTTCCCCTTGTAGCCTACAGTTGTCAGGGTGAAGAGAAGCTTCTCATTTACAAGTATCAAAACAAAGGGAGCCTCCTGGCACTCATGGAAAGTAAGTAAAATATCATGACACATTAATCAATGCATCAAATCAAATCTAAAATGTCTGTTATTTATTTAGGGAATATTGAGGGGAAGATCGAATTCCCATGGAAAGTGCGGTTGTCTATAGCGGTTGGAATAGCAAGGGGTTTGGATCACATATACAAAAGTGATCCTGGCATTCCCCATGGAAACATCAAGCTTTCCAACATTTTGTTGAATGAAAACAAGGAGGCATTAATAAGTGAATACGGATACTGGAATATGGTTGATCCGAAAAGTGCTAGCTTGCAGAGATCAAGTAATGGCTATGGCAGCTACACAGCCCCTGAGAAATGTTTATCGGAAAAAGGAGACGTGTTCAGCTTTGGGGTGATTCTGTTGGAACTGCTGACAGGGAAGATAGTGGAGAACAGTTACAGTGGTGGGTTGGACCTTCCAAAGTGGGTCAAGGCCATGGTCAGAGAGGAGTGGACAGGGGAGGTGTTTGATAAGGAGATTGCAAAGGTTGGAATGTATGCTTTTCCTCTGCTGAATGTTTCCTTAAAGTGTGTTGCCCATTTTGCTGAGAACAGACCTTCCATGGCTGAGGTTTTGGAGACGATACTTGGTGTTGTTGTTGAGGCACAGGAAGATTTTTCTTTTTCTTCCACCGACTCAACCCCCCCACACCCACACCCACACACACACGATGCTGCTCATGTGCTTTATTCAGTTGCAGAGGATAAGGAGGAGAGCTAGGCTAGGCTAGCTAATATAAACACCTCTCAAGTCTCGATCAATCATTAACTAATATCTTGTACATACAGAAACCAGATTAGTAGTGCATGTTTATGTTTTGTTTTTCTACCAATAACTCAATGCCATGGCTATTATTATACTGTACGACATTGTTCCACTTGAAGAAGAAGAAGATTCATATTTCAGATTAAATTAACTAGGGTTTGCCCAGGAAAGGATTTAGCAAACAACTCTTCACTGTAAATAATTAACAAAACTAAAATTCTTACACATCCATGATCATGATCCATCCCTCACAAACTCAATGCTAAAGAAAGATAATAAAAAAAAAAAAAAAACAGAGATGGATTAGAATAGGGGATGGAGGTCCTCGTCCTCTTTCCAAGAAAGAGTATATATACATTGATTTTTAGTTAAATCCAGAACTTTCAAACGATGAAATCTGTTGCCAATTATCTAACACAGAACATTAGTCTGTTTGAATTGCCTTTATCAAAGAATTTTACACCAAGGTTTATCCTAGAATATTATCTCTTAAGTTTGAAAGTCCATGTCAATTCTCAAGTAGAAAAGCAACACGTATGATATCTCATGTGAAACTGCAGCCGTTTTTTGTGGATAATGGAACTACAGTTGATATCCAAGTAACCAACCACGATTCAGAATGCGACATCAGATTCCGGATCCCTTAAAAACAAACGAGAATCGGAAAGACATATAATGAAGTCGTCAGCATGAACGAACCTGTAGCAATAGGTTTCCCAGCGGTTTTGTGGAGAATAGATCGCCTGTGCGTGCGAGTGCTCGGGTCTAGCTATGTTAAGAAAAAAAGGGAGAGTTATAAAGCCCTTTAAAAGAAAAGGGAGAGTTATAAATATCCTAGTTGTGAAAAATAATAATAATAATAATAATAATAATAATTAAATATAAAGGTCAAATTATTTGAAAACTTTGAATTTATAAGAAAATAAGAAAAATAATGAATTATTATAATGAAAATATTTTTTATCTTTTAAATTTAAATAAATAAACAAAAGAAATAATAAGCTTTAAACAAAATAATTTAGATAATTAAATAAAAAAAATTAATGAACCTTTAATTTAGTAATTTTGAAATTAAATGGAAAGTTCATTAAGGAAATTACTATGCATTTATTATTGTATTTAAACACTATGTGGAATTTAATAAAATAGAAAAAAACTATAAAATGACATGTGAAATAAAAATTAATTCGAAATAACCACAAAATGACATTTGGCAAATTAAATGAGAGTGTGACAAGTTATAAAAAAACATTCATTTATTAAAGTAGATGACCCACATGCCCACATATTTCATAAAGCCCTTTAAAAGCGAATGTTCTATATGACCCACGTGTAGGTAGGCATGCACAAACCGGTTTATTTTATGAACCGGACCGGTTCAGAAAACCGGTTCGGTTCTGGTCAACGTAGTCAAAACTGGTTCATCCGGAAACCGGTTCGGTTCCAAACCGGTCCAGCCCCAAAATAATCCGAACATATGTAAACCGGTCCGGTTTGATCGAAACCGGTTCAGAAATAACCGGTTCAAAAACCGGTTCGGCGCATATAATGGTTTTTTAATTTGTTTTTTTTTTGTTTTTGGGCTAATAAATGTAAAATAGGAATGAGTTTTTTTTGTTTAGATTATATTGCTTTTGATTGTGTTTAACCATAAAAAAGGTTATGTTTCACACTAGGTTTTTGGGGGTTGAAGGAATTGGGAAGGCATAAAGCCTTATGGTAATACACACACATACATATGCACGTCCATATATATATATATATATATATATATATATATATATATATATATATATATATATGCCAAAAGGTTTTTTTCATTTTTTTTTCTTTTGTTTCTTGTTTAATAATATACATATCTTTTGATGTATTAACTTTTTTTTTGTTTTAAATTTGATGTTTATGTGTATGTACAAAAACATAATGTATGTATAAATTTGTTCAACTTGAATCAACACATTTTTTGGAGCAATTTTCAATCTTTTTTTCATTTTTTTTTTGTTTTTTTATATTGGAAATACATAATACAACTTCAAACATAAAAACACAAAACATCCAAATTGTCAAACTAATACATCTTCAAATATAAAACATTGTTGTCGTCGTAGTCTTCATTCCAAGTCCGTAGTCATTGTATTTATTCGTCATCCGCCATGTCGTTGCGTAATCCTCTCTCATACTCGATCTCTTCTAGGGTGAGTGGCACCGACATTCTCATCGCTACTTCTTCCTCATGTACTCGTGCTTCGGCATGCAATGATGTGCCTTCTAGTACTTCAACGTCTTGTATCTGTTCCACGCCATCAAGGTAGCATTTCAAGCAAATGCACACTTCCACCGACAAAGGGGTTAGTTTTGTTCTTCTTGGTGATATTACCCTGCCACTAACAGAAAAAGCCGATTCCGAAGCTACCGTAGAAGCTTGAGAGCTTAGTAGATCACGGGCCATAGCGGCTAGAATCGGAAATTGGGTTTCTTTTCCTTTCCACCAAGCCAAAATATCAAAATTTTCAAACTCTTGAATATTCATTTGAGACAAGAAATCAGAACCAATGTACCTTTCGAGCTCGCTACTAGGGGTGTTAGACCGAGCTCGTTTGGAATTTTCATTCCTCAAAGTATTATAAAGCCTAATTGTTTCGTTATTTTGGTGAGAAGTGGATCCGGATGCCCCCGTATTTTGCATCATGTCATGAATGTTTGTTGAACCATATTTTGTTAAATAAACTTCAAACAAATTTTGAAAAACTTTGTTAAATTTTGAAACTTCATTTGATGCATAATCTATGTCATCATCCAATAAACCCAAATCGTAACAAATATTTTCAATTAAAGTCTCATCCCCCCCCCCCCCCCCCCCCCCCCCCCCCCAAAAAACATTTAGAGCCAGATTCAAAGCGGCGGAACAAGTAATAATGGGAGACATTTCTTGAAAATATTTTTTAACTTTGCTTTCATCGATTTCATCATATTAGCAAACATTGTGTTCCTCATTTCAAACTATTAGATAATTACGTCATTTATTATTTAATGTATATTTGTATATTATAGATCCTACATTATAGGATCTCATTATTGTAATCTTCCAATATATATACAATATCAACACACACGATTAGATGTGTGGTTAATTGATCAATATTCTGCATGGTATCAGCCTAACACTCACGCTACCCTCCTCTCGTTTTTCTTCTTCTCTAACCCTATTCTTCTCCTGAAACCTAATCATGTCTACCTCTGCCGATAATACTTTTCCAGTGAATACCATACTTCATATGATCCCCATCAAATTAAGCTCTACTAATTACCTACTGTGGAGAAATCAAATGCTTCCTTTACTCTCTTATCAGAAGCTCATGCCCTATGTTGACGGCACCTCTCTTCCACCTCCAAAGACCGTTGAAGTTGACAGTAAATCTGTCCCAAATCCAGCGTATGCTTAGAAGACAGTCATTCTCCTCAACTCCTCTCTAACTGAAGAAGCAGCCGCTGAAGTTCTTGGTCTTCCTGATTCTCGATCTATCTGGACCACTTTGGAGGCTGCCTACAGCAGCTCCTCTGTTGAAAGAATCCACTCCCTTCGTGACAGCCTTCGACAAATGCAAAAAGGTACCAATACAGTATCTGAGTATGGACGAAAGTTTAAAATTGTATGTGATCAATTGGCTGCAATTGGCCAACCTGTTGATGATATGGACAAGATCCACTGGTTTCTTTGTGGCCTTGGCTCTTCGTTTGAGACCTTCTCTATAGCCATTCGAACTTCCAGGCCATCTCCATCTTTTCGAGATTTATTGTCCCAGGCAGAAAATCATGAGATTTTCCTACAATCTATGCATGGTTCCGCTGCCCCTACTGTTGCATTTATCTGTGAGTCTCGTTCTAATAATAATAAAGGAAGGTCATCAAACTATTCTCGTGGTGGATCTCGTAGTGGAGGAAGAGGACGTGGGGGCAGACGTCCTCCTCATTGTCAACTGTGTCGTACAAATGGGCATTATGCCTCCTCTTGTCCAAGTCTTCACACTTATGCAACCAACTCTGCCATCCCATCAGATGCAAACTTGGCCCAGGCTTTTCATTCCCAATGTCATGTGAACCAAGGTCATCCGGATTGGTATGTTGATTCGGGAGCAACTTCACACATGACTCCTTCCACAAATAATGTCAATCCATCGGCTCCATATTCGGGTAATATGCATGTTGTTTTTGGTAATCGAAATAAACTTCTTGCTACTCATATGGGTACTTCTATGGTTGCTAAAAATTTATCATTACATGATGTCTTGGTTATTCCTGGTTTAACCAAGAACCTACTATCCATCAATAAACTCACCATGGATCACCCGGTTGATGTCCTTTTTTCTCAACCTTTCTTTCATATTCAGGACAGGAAAAGCAAGCAGGTGATAGCTCAAGGACGATGTGAAGATGGATTATACGTTCTAAGAGATGGTCCCATATCATTGGTGGCGGTTTCCGGTGTTTCTAATAAAGCTTCTTTTGAACTATGGCATAGTCGTTTAGGACATATTTCTTTTGACATCATTTCTAGTTTACATAAACGAGGTTTTTTACATGTTACTTCTTTGTTACCAAAACCTACTGTTTGCGAACCTTGCCAACTCTCTAAAAGTCAAAGATTATCTTTTGAATTAAATCCTAAACGTTCATTGCATCCTTTAGATTTAATACATTGTGACTTATGGGGACCAGCTCCGACTTTATCCGATGGCTATCGATATTATGTCATTTTTGTAGATGATCATTCACGGTTCACATGGTTCTATCCTTTGAAGGCAAAATCCGGTTTCTATGCTGTTTTACCTACATTTATCAAGCTTGTGCAAACTCAATTCTCTAGAAAAATTAAAGTATTTCAGAGTGATGGCGGTACTGAATTTGTTAATAATACAGTTCGTCAAATATTCGAAGAAAATGGTACTTTCCATCAGTTATCTTGTCCTTACACTCCCCAGCAAAACGGACGCGCAAAACGTAAGCACCGCCACATTGTTGAAACCGGTCTTGCTATGCTTTTTCATGCTCGTGTCCCAGCTTCTTACTGGGTTGATGTTTTCAGTACAGCGACATTTATTATCAATCGTATGCCTACCAAAGTCCTTGACAATCGGTCTCCTTTTGAGTTACTTCACTCACGATCACCAAATTATGGCAATTTTCGCACTTTTGGCTGCCTTGTTTATCCATATATTCGAGATTATTCGGCGCACAAACTTGCTCCTCGAAGTATTTCGTGCATTTTTATTGGTTATCACTCCCAATATAAGGGCTATAAGTGTCTCGATCCAGCCACCTCTCGTATCTACATTACTCGACATACACGCTTTAACGAGGCCGTTTATCCTTTTAGCACTTCTATCACCGATCAAGATTTGTCAAAGTTGGAATTATCTTCGTTCCTAGAAGATGGACCTGGTACTTCTACTTCATCATCGGATAAGTCAGATCACACTTCTTCCGTTTCACAGCCTACGGAGTCCACTAGGCTTTTCAAGCCCACCACCAGTAGTCCAACTTCTTGCCGACTATGTGTACCTGATCCATCTTTGCCACAACAGCCATCTATGCCTACCGGTACTACTCATGATGATCATGATCATCATGTTCATTCCGACAATGATATGCATGACTCTTCAATTGAGGATCCAGTGACCAGCTCCCACCCTTCTCCTACCAACGATCCTTCTAACGATCCACCCGTCCCCTTACCATCTACTCATCCGATGCAAACTCGCTCCAAGGACGGAATTTTTAAACCCGCCATATAGCAGATTTTTCCTCTCTTGAGCATCATGCCTTACATGCAGCTCTCATGTCCTCCACTCAACCAAAAGGTTATAAATCTGCTGCAAAAGATCCTCGTTGGATGGCTGCTATGCATGAAGAAATGGAGGCGTTACGCACAAACAACACTTGGGTTCTAGTTCCTCGTCCCACTCTCTAAATGGGTTTATCGCACCAAATACAACTCGGATGGCTCTATTGAATGTTTCAAGGCTCGCCTTGTTGCTCAAGGTTTCAGTCAAATACCTGGCCTTGATTACTCGCATACGTTCAGCCCTGTTGTTAAAGCCTCAGCCGTCCGCATAGTTCTTTCTCTTGTTGTCTTGCATCGATGGCGGCTGCATCAGTTAGATGTAAAAAATGCTTTTCTCCATGGACATCTTACAGAAACGGTCTACATGGAACAACCACCCGGCTTCGCAGATTCTAACTTTCCCACCCACGTTTGCAAGCTCTCTAAGGCCCTTTACGGTTTGAAACAAGCACCTCGTGCTTGGTTTCAACGCCTCAGCTCATTCTTACTTGCAAATGGTTTTACTTGCAGTCGTGCAGACACCTCCTTATTTGTGTTTGCTCAAGATTCATGCATCATGTATCTCCTGGTGTATGTGGACGATCTCATTCTTACTGGTAATAAGGAGTCGGTCATTACTTCCTTTACTACCCGGTTACACAATGAATTTGCTATCAAAGATCTTGGTGATCTTAGTTACTTCCTCGGCTTAGAAGTGAGCTATACTGATGATGGACTTTTTCTCAGTCAATCTAAATATGCCAAAGACGTCTTGACTCGTGTCGACTTACTTGAGTGTAAACCAGTCTCAACTCCTTTGGCTACCCATGAAACCTTTACACCTGATGGGCCATCGTTCTCTGATCCAACGCTCTATTGCTCTCTTGTAGGTGCTCTTTAGTACTTAACCATTACTAGACCTGATCTCTCATATGCTGTCAATCAAGCAAGTCAATACCTTCATGCCCCTACCGATGCTCATTTTCAATCCATCAAGCGGATACTCCGCTATGTTAAAGGCACGATCTCGTATGGGCTTATTTTTCGTAAACCTCAAATAAACAACATTCTCGGTTACTCTGATGCTGATTGGGCACGTTGTCTTGAAACCCGTCGGTCTATATATGGTTATTCAATCTTCCTGGGTGGTAACTTAGTTTCATGGAGTGCCAAGAAACAACCAACTGTTTCTCGATCAAGTTGTGAATCGGAGTATCGGGCAATGGCAAACACGGCAACTGAAATTGTTTGGATCACTCATCTACTTCGTGAGCTTCATGCGTTACCTTCTGCTCGTCCCACTCTTCTTTGTGACAACAAAAGTGCATTGTTTATGACGCAGAACCCGGTTACTCACAAGCGTGCCAAACACACTGATCTTGACTACCACTTTATTAGAGAACTTGTTACTTCTGGCAAGCTCTATACCAAGTTCGTTTCAACCAAGCTTCAGGTGGCAGATATCTTCACCAAAAGTCTTCCGCGTGCTCAATTTGAACATTTTCAAGCAATGCTTCGTCTTGGTCCACCACCCATTCGCTTGAGGGGGGATATTAGATAATTACGTCATTTATTATTTAATGTATATTTGTATATTATAGATCCTACATTATAGGATCTCATTATTGTAATCTTCCAATATATATACAATATCAACACACATGATTAGATGTGTGGTTAATTGATCAATATTCTACACAAACTCATTTATTTTCGCACACATTAAAAAAAATTGGTTTAAAACCAATGGTTCGGTTCAGCAGCGGTTCGGTTCTTACGTGAACCGGTTCAAGCCTAAACTGGTTTCCGGTTCAGCGACCAGTTCGGTTCCTGAACCGGTTTTTTTGCACACGCCTACGTGTGGGTGCCTGTATTTTATTATAAGTAAAAAAAATAGATAAATATAAAATATAAAAAAAAATAACTTTTTTGGCAAATAAATATTTCAAATTATATATATTTTAGAATTGACCTTTAAAACACTTACGTTACAAATGTATAATTAAATAAGAAATCTAAGTACTTAAACTATTTATTATCTTTTGTTAATTAAGTTTTGGAAATACATTTGATTGTAACTTTATTATTATTATTTTATTTTCTTTGGAAAATAAGACTTAGACTTTGGATCATTTTATGTTTTTAATATATCGTAACTTCAAATGTATAATTAAATAAGAAATCTAAGTACTTAAACTATTTATTATCTTTTGTTAATTAAGTTTTGGAAATACATTTGATTGTAACTTTATTATTATTATTTTATTTTCTTTGGAAAATAAGACTTAGACTTTGGATCATTTTATGTTTTTAATATGTCGTAACTTTTTTATGGTTTTGTAACGTTTTCATTTTCAATTTAAATAATATGTTTTTATTTAAATAATGTGCTTTTATTTAAACTAGATGAGGAACCCCGTTTCGCGGGGTATGGATTTGTTATAAGAGATTGTTTTGGTCGTTTGTGGTACGCTTTGACAGTTGTGGTACTCTGTTATGAGTAGTTGTAAAGAAAGTACATTGTTATTCTTAATATTTACGCCCATTTTGTCTTTTTGCAAACAAACCATCAGACTTAAGCAGATACAAAAATAAGACTACATATATCATGATTTTTTTTTTTCAACTCTGCCTGTACAAGCTGTATTAAAAAACAACAATGTCAATATTAGAATTTGGTTCAAGAAAATTAACACCTTCAATGGAAACACAGGCTTTTTCTCCAGCAGCCATAATTAACTCGAGGAACAATGGCATGATGATTGTCTCTTTCTTTTTGTTTACAACCTGCAAAAAAGAAAATGGTGAATAAAAATACAATTCGATCCATAACTGTCATGCAAGAAATAGCAACCCAATCTCAAGAAATCATATACGTGCTCCATTCCATTTTTGTTCAGAACCTCCTAAAATTATATACCATTACAAACTTAGAATCCTGATGTAATCTGTAACCTGCAAGCAAAACCACAATAGATTACTGGCCAGTTAATATCCATGCAAGAAATAGCAACATACTATGATTTATTTATTAAATCCATTACAACATTGTAGTTCTAAAATTCCACTTATAATTTTGAATGCTATGATGGATGGATTTTCCAAAGTATAATCTATTATAAAGAAAAAAAACATACTATAGAGAACTTGCTACCAATATATAAGAAGAGGAATAATTCATAAAAACTGTTCTTTTTTTCCAAAGTATGATCTATTTAATTTGATTTTTAATATTATTTGTAACTACTATACCTGTTAATTAAGTTAAAACCATTTATTTGGATATTTTTTGGTTAATCATCATCGTCTTTAAGTAACTAATCATCTATAATAGTTTAAACATATTTGAGTTGAAAAAACATATCAATTATGATATACATACTTATGTTAGATAATTTCTAAAAACCACTTTTTGAGTGAAAGCAAAATCTATTGTGTAATTTACGTATACATTAATTTATAATAGAGAGACAACACTTACCTTCATATTAAAAAGACATCCATCTTTATCTGTAGTGGAAAGGATCAAACAACCATCACAACATAGGAAGCAAGCCAATTTATTACATTTATTTAAAGATGAAGAAACCTCTTGTTTCCTATAATTGGGAGTCTTCTTCGATTTCTTTACAAAGTATAAATAAAACATAGATTAATATACCAATGAAAAAAGGGGGCATTAAATGATATGTAAAAGAAAAAAGTTGATCATACATAAATAAAAACAAACATTAGTATACATAACGAAATTGGAAGCATGTGGCTTTTTGGAGCATAAACTAAGGCAATAGATAATCCTTGAAAAAATAAAATTGAAAGTTTTTTTTTTTTACCATAAACACCTGAGAACAAAGATTATAAACAAATAAACGTAGGCAATTATAAAGTCCCTGTTTGAATGATTTGACAAAAATATAAATAGTGTTAAATGATAATAAAAAAATAAAAAAATGCACATTGTAAAGATGATCAGACTTAAAAATATTATGGAGGCCAGCTAAAGTACAAAACCACATAAGTTTTCATAAAATGTCATCAAACTGTATTTAGAAGCACATAGAGTTTAACTTGATGGCAACTTAACCATTAACCCCTTCTAATTAATAATAACAAAGTTAGCTTCCGTTATACTTTACACATGTAGGACAACAAATTAACAAAGAAAAAAGCTTTTATTATTGACCGACTTGATTGAAGTGTAGTGGAAGACTTGGAATGCAGTCTATGTAAAGAAACAAATTACTAACTAAAGGTGTGAAATCAAAACATAATGATTTTTATAAGAATCAAATTACTAAACATTTAAAAAAAATGGTATGAAAACTATAAGATTACCTTTTTACCCATTAAGCAATGCCAAAGGGCGACCGAGTAAAAGAGAAAAATAGCAGCGAACTTTCGAGCAGCCATCCATGTTTAAAATGGAGGTCAATAAGGAACCTATGATCATCCTTAAATGGAATATATCAGTAAACTAAATACAGATGGTAAGATAGTTAAAATTAAAAAGATGTAAAACAGAAAACAAACATCAAACTAAAGCAAACAAACATATATAGTTTACTTAGGTTTCATGCAGACATTTCATCGAACAGTTTTTGTGCATCAAAACCTCACTAAAACCACAACCATACCCTTGTTAATCGATAGAAACATTACAAAAATCAAAAACAAAACCTGTAAATTTGGAGATGAGTAGCAACTGTTTCCAATCAACCATACACATCACCAAGTATTTCATGCCGTTTAAAAAAATGTCAATCAAAAAGGAACAAAAATTAATTTGCAAGCAAAAGACAAAAAGATGATTGCAGATGCTTACCGGTTCAATTCTTCATCTTCATTTTACATATGCCATCTCTGAAAGCTAAAAAAAAACAAATCGAATCAGAAATTTTAACATGCATAACAAATTTCAGAATTCTTACGTAACACTCAAATACTTTTTTTATCAAGGTAATTTTTGGTTTATATGACAGAAAAGAAGAAGTTTTAGGGCTGATAATTGGAAAATCACAGCACCATCGCCACTCCAACCCACCAGCAGCGTTGCCTCTTTCTGCTATGAACAGTACCGACATCAGCACAAAGGCGCCTGCAGCTATCTCTATCTCTCAATTGATAGTCATTGAACTCTCTCCCATTCTTAACTGTTGTCGGATATGCCTGTGGGTTTAGAGTTTTCTTACCCAAGGAAAGAGATAAAAAGTGACGATTTCAGTAGTAATCAGCGCTATAACTATATTTAATAGTGGAGGAAAAATAGATAATAGATGAGAAACCAGTATGTATACCTGAAGTGAGTGGCGTTAACAGCGTGAAAGGAAGGCGGAGGCGGAGGCGTCGTCGGTAGCATCATCTGGATACTGTACGCTGAGGCGGTCGGCGTGAAGATGCGCAAGGTTAGAGTAGGTGGGGCTGGCGGTAGCGAAGATGGGAAACGTCTCAGTTGAAGCAAGTCGGTGGAGCTTTGGCGGTCTAACCCAACCCCGGTTGGAGGGGCGGTGTTAATTTGTGAGCAGAAGAGAAACACCGTGAGAGGCAAAAGAAAAGGAGCAATCGATCGCGAAAAAAGAAAGACAGAAGAAATAAAAAATCTAGGAACGGTGGGTGATGTTGATGTGTTGGCGACGGAGGGTGTAGGTGATGTATCGGTGGGTGTTATCTGGTAGTTTTGAGGGAAATCAATCTATCGAGGGAAACCGGTGGATGGAATGGACTTGGAACAGAAATTCGAGGCAGTGGAAATGAGCGATAATGAAGAATCAAGAAGAATCTGAGGCGGTGGATGGGTGGAGGGATTAAGAACGGAACACGTGAAAAATAAAAGAAGCAGCAGAACACGTGGAAAGTAAAAACACAAAGGCAGAAAAATGTAAGAGATACCATTTGAGACCCAAACGGCCAAAAATATAAAAAAAAACCCTAAAGAGAAATAGGGAAACTACAAGGACTGAAATAGACAAAAAAAAAAAAAAAAAAAAAAAAAAAAAAAAAAAAAAAAAGGGATTTTACTGTTGCTAACTTAGGACAATTTTAATATATATATATATATATATATTAATGACATGTATTATAAATTTATAAAACTTATTTATATAATTATTGAAAAAATATAAATAAAATAAAGAAACTCGAAAAAATGACATGGAAGTGGTGTGGTGATTATTTCCTAGCTAAAATGATATGGTGTAGAGAGTGAAAAAAATATACGGACGAGAGAACTCATACTCACCGGCTTAAGGTCATATCCAAATGCATTAAACCTTTCAAATTGTCACATTAACGTTTGTCATACTACTTTACCCCATTAAACTACACTCCATTAAACCTTTAAAGTTTAATAGATTTCCATATATATATATATATATATATATATATATATATATATATATATAAAAGTAGAATATTAATTAAAAAGTGCAATAAATTTTATTTAATACCTGTGCATCGAAGTCCTTGTAACGCCCTTAATTTTGGGCTAGATGTTTATAGTATAATCGTAATAATTATACATTTTATCGAATAATTAAAATCGTTAATTAAAATAATTGTTTTTTATATGTGTTATGAGATAATAAAGAATTATCATGTACACATTAAGTGGAAAATATTAAGATTATATAATATGTGTAGAAAACTTTAATATAAAATTTATCGTTGAAGCGATAAAATAAAGATTAAAAATAAAAGATTATTTATGACAAATAAACTTAACGAAAGTTTTAGTAGTCGTGATCATAAGTATGTGGCTATAAAGAACTCTTAAATCTGACTTAGTATCAGGAAGTTATGATTTATCTAAGTTTCGCGTGCGACACGATACAGTGTATGTGTTATAAAAAGTGAATCGGATATAGGTTGTGTAACAGCCCAAAAAACCCGAACAAATTTTTCATTTTTGAAAATAGAAATACAATCATAATTTGTTCTAAAAACCCATTACATCATATAGTATCAAATATCAGAGTATCCAAAAATAGATATGTGGAAAAAGTTGAAGAGTGAATGTTGCGCCATTAAGTCGGACCCTTCCCTTTAGTACTAGAAGTACATAAAAACACCCAAATAAACCGTAAACTAATGCTTTGTGAGTTCCCATATATCACATAACATACAACCATAGAATATCATACAACACACATAAAGTTGTCATGGGCTACCACATGGTCTTTAACTGGAATTCCTGGGCTACCCCCAAGGTCTGACATCCATGTGTCATGGGCTACCCCTATGATCTTTACCTGGAATGTTATGGGCTACCCCCATAGTCTGATATCCAATCTCCATGGGCTACCCCTATGGTCTTCATACAAGTCGATGCACAACCACTAACAATCCACAATCAGATAATGGGTCGGCATTGGTTCCTTCGACCTATGGATATAGTGAGAAGACTCTCCTCAGTCTGCTAAAAAAATATTGCTCGGCTACCGGTCCGTAAAATCTCACCCTGAAAATGGACAAATCAACCTAATTAGAATTAGATCACAACTCAAGGCATAGGCCCAAACTCTTCACTAAGGCCCAAAAATTTTCTACATTAATGGGCCTAACATCCAAGTCTAAAACAATTATGGGCCACAAGGCCCCAAAAGGCCCAACCATGCTACTTATGGTCCAATAATAAATTCTAAGGCCCAATTATTCAAATAGGTCCAGGCCCAAGGTCCATTAGGGCCCAAGTATCCCGAAGGCCCAACGGAAGCCCAAAGTCCGCTGGAAGCGTACGCCCCGCGTATATTATCAGTACGCTTAGCGTACTAAGCTCCTGGGTGTTGGGTTTTGAGCATAACAACATTCCTATGTGTTAATGCAACCCTTATTACTTTGGATCTAAGTTTTTCTCTGGTTATACATACAAATAGATCTTCCAAAGCAATAACCCTAATACTAGTATACAATTTCATAGAAAAACAATATGGAACTAGGGTTTGATTGTTACATTTCTTGTTATCTCGTAATAACAAGTAATCCACGGATGATCTTGACTCTTGAAAGCTTGAGTGCCTCACGTGTTGCACCTCTAATGGAGTCACAAACACCAAAAGCAAAGGATGAGTGAGAGAGAGAGAGCAGAATTTCGGCTAGGGTTACACCTTGTGAAGCAGTGGTCGAAATTGAGAGGTCTAGGGGTCTTTAAATACTTGTGGCTGCTAGGGTTTCCAGGAAAACCCTAATTCCTGACTTAGGCTCCAAGTAGCCCATGGACCTCCCTTCTGGAAGGCCTTACGTGATTTCTATAGGGCCTCCTATAGATTTCGTCCAACCCTTTCAAAGGGAGTCCATCAGCCCAATACTGCAACTATCAGTGATTTGCAGTATCAGTCCCCACACTTTTAATCAGTTCATTTAATCTCAAAATTTATACCAAATTACTTTTTGATTAAATACTAATTAAATAATATGATTTCTAATTAATATATTATTCTTATAATATATTAATAAATCATTAAATAACCTCTCTCTCCAAAGTCATCATGTCAAGTTGCTATGGTGAAGGCAACCCAAAAGGACCATGCTACTATCAGATCAAGTACATACCAATTATAGTTATGGGCTTAGACACTTAATTCAATAGTCTCCCACTTGGATAACTCTAATAACTATAACTGCAAGTATGACTTCAGAATCTGACTAGCAATCGTAGCTTTCAAAAGCCGTTGTCGAACTCTTACCTAGTCAATGACGTGTCCTTTAGATAAGGGATCATATAATCCTCTGTTCTACAAGATATCATGTGGACAAAGACATGGAATAGAATCATTCTCATTGTCCAACAATTTGTTTCCCGATTTATGATTTGTCTGACATAGAACTTAATTGAACACATCAATTCAGTCCTGACCGGGCCTGACACATAAGTCAACACAAAATCATCGAGGGGCCCAAGATATTGCTTTTCTCGTTAGGGCAAAAGGAACAGATAAACTTTGACCTATATGCTTGTACTATTTACACATCAAGTCGCACACAACACTACATTTTATAACATCAAGTTACTGATGCGTTTACGTAGTATCAATGAACAACCAACTTGTAAACAACAACTCATATATCTCGGTTTAAAGATTATACAATATTATTGTCTCACAATCACTCGTGATAAATTCCATGAAGTGATTCAAATGAACGTGGGTTTAATCCAATACTCAAATCCTATTTCAGGTGTACTCATGAACGTTGTAGCAAACCTTTGATATGTCTAAGCACTTAGACAATCTACAAGCCAATTCATGACAGCCTTACTTCATAACTTACTTCCAAAGTATGAACGACTGTGGATAATTTGAATAATCCAATTATTTCGGAAGTAAAACATGCAAAGTGAGACACAAGATAAATAATTGACAAAAGATAGTAAACTTTACTCATAAATAAATCTTCCATTAATTAATCATCAAATGTCAATTACATTTATATTGTTACGAGTTTCTAACTACCTATCTAATCGCTAAAATTAATATCATGCTTCAGGCAAATGCTCTCGTTATGCTGAACATGCTTAGTCCTACTCAGACCCTTTGTGAGGGGATCTACAGGATTCTCTTCTGGCGATACCCTCTTGACCACGAGGAGTCCTTCTTCTACACGATGTCTGATGAAATTATATTTTCTGTTGATATGCCAGGATCTGCCATGATCCCTCGGTTCCTTGGTTAAGGCAACCGCTCATTCGTTATCACATAAAATCTCCATAGGCTCCTTTATGGTTGGCACAACTCCAAGGTCTCCAATGAAGTTTTTCAACCATATAGCCTCCTTTGACGCTTCGCTCGCAGCTATTGTTGGATTAGATGTCTAAGCCCATAACTATTATTGGTATGTACTTGACCCGAGAGTAGCATGGTCCATTTGGGTTGCATATCATCAGGACAATTTGTTAGGATAATTCATGAGAGAAGGTTATAT